CCCCCCCCCCCCCCATTTCCTTGCTAATTGGCTTTTTTGGTTTGATCTATTGAATCTATTTTTATTTTATTGTAGTAATGAAAAACTAAAATCAAGGATATGGAAATGCTGAAGTTTGAGATGTGCATTCTTGTCTTGCAAAGGTTAGTTTTTCTGGAGAAAGAAAAGATCAAAATGTATGAGAAGCTACTAATATTTGTGGAATTTACTTAGATTTATTACACATGCTTAAAATTCTTTACTAGTCATCAGTGAACAGGGGTTAAACCAACTTTTTCTATCAGCTGCTTGTTTTGACATGGGAAGTTAGCCATCATTTTGAACAGTTGAACTAATATATTCCATCTTAAAATTATTTATTTGGCGTTAGTTACCTTTCCAAAACCTTTATGCCACCTATAGATTTTTTTTTTTTTTTTCAGTTTCTTTCTAGGATCTTTTTTTAACTCCATGTGGTGAAAGTCTAAGTAGTTCACTTATAGTCCTCAGACTGCAAAGTATGTTTCTTCAGGAAAGGTATTAAGTCTGCAAAAATTGTTTAATGATAGTATATTGCTTCTGTGGTATCTAGGCAGATTTCTGTGCAACAGAGGTCTGTGTTGTGTTCTTTTTAGGGTACTTGGGATGATGCAGTCTGTCAACTATGTCAGACAAGCAATCAATATAAGGGTCCTAATTAAAACACTTGTGACTTGCATGTTCCAAATGAGGAAAATAGGTCATACTAAAACTGATGCTTGGACTAGATGATCTTCAAGGTCTTTTCCAACATAGATAATTCTGTGATTCCGTGATATTCCTTCACTTGAGCATCCTACAGCTTATTTCGTGAGGTGTAGTAAACTTAGTAGCTGTTTATGCAATGTAACCTTATCTAGGAGAGAAAAATGCTATGTCTATGGTTACAAAACTAATCCTCTTTAGACTCTATCCAGAGCAGATGCTTGATTTGGAAGTAGTGAGGCTTTTTACTATATGAGAGAAAACATCAATTTTAGGTTAACAGCAATAATCAGTAGTGTGTAGCACTGATGTTCTAATACAGCAACGAGTGTTAGTTGCCTCCCCCCCCCCCCCAAATATAATTTTGCCAATGTTAGTTTATAACGATTAATTTTTAGCATAAGTGATATCAAAGAATATCATGCATCAAAGACGCAGTTGTATTTCTAAAACATACTGCAAGGTCTTGGTAAACTTTCACACCTGTATGTCTATTGTCATTTTACCTAGTGTTGCTGCACTTCATTGAGTACATGTTGAAATATGAACTGGGATTAAGAGAACTGTAGTTAGAGCGCCTTGAATACTTTCCATGAATGCTGAGAATAGTTTGACAAAGCTGAAGTTTTTGGCAGTTTAGGGGATTTCCTCCCACTGCTGTTTGTTCCCATCAGACTATGCTATGAACTGCATTTTGTAACTGATGTAACTTAAGTATACTCTTCTGAAAATACATTATGAGGGGTATTGGTTGGTTGGTTGTTTTTTTTCCCATCCACATCAGTTCTGTGATCCAGTTTATGACATTGTGTACATACGTGTCTGAACTTTCAGTTGGAGCAGCATGCTGTGGTGTCAACAAGTAACTGGGCAGCAGGAAAGAGAATGGGTCAAGTTAGTGTTTTACGGCTGAAGGATTTTTTCTCTGAGCCCATAGTGACCTAGAGGTGAAGAAGTTTCTATGCAAAGTCCCAACGTATGTGTTAATGAAAACTTGTTTATTACATGCTTGTTTAATTTATGTTTGAATTGACTGAATGAAAGGGCAAATGTGTGTCTGAAAAAACATGGAAAATAGGATTAAAGAGAATCTATGTTTTAGAATTGGATCAGTTTTCAAGTCTTAAAATAACTATTTATTACATGTGCTTCTTATTTTAATCCCCCCAGAGGCATATTTTTCACATGTTTAAAAAAACTCCTTGAAATAAATTTCTCCCCTGATGATATGTAAAAT